AGATCAGCAGCAACATGAAACAGATCAGCAGAAACATGAAACAGATCAGCAGCAACATGAAATAGATCAGCAGCATGAGATCATAGAGGGAGGCCGGGCTAACTCCCATCAAAAGAGCGTTACAATAATCCAGACATGAAGTAATAAAAACGTGGATCACTGTCTCTAAGTGGTGCCTAAAAAGGAGGGGCTTGATTTTTGACAGGCACCTCAGCTGAAAGAAAGAGGACTTAACCACGTTGTTGACATGGCAGTCAAGTTTCAAGCAGGAGTCCATTGTCACCCCTAAATTTGCAACAGCTGATTTTTCATATGGGGCAAAAGAGGGAAAATCCAAGGTGGGGACACTACTAGGACAACTAGATTTAAAGACCATAACCTCAGTCTTTTTTTTGTTGTTGTTAAAATGGAGGAAATTAAGTGCCATCCATCCTCTAATGTCATTGAGACAGTCCAGGAGAGACTGAGTGGAGCCATTATGTTTCAAAGGGAAGTAGACTTGACAGTCATCTGCATATAAATTAAATTATACACCATGATTTCTGAAAAAAGAACCCAGTAGCAGAAGATAAAGTGAGAACAGGAGAGGACCAAGAATAGAGCCCTGGGGTACCCCCCAGGGGAGGGCAGCAGAGGCAGAGGTAAAATTATCCATCATCACACTGAAACATCTATCAGAAAGCTATGACCTAAACCACTGCAGAGCTGAGCCAGTGATGCCCACCCAGTGCTCCAGTCTAGAGATGGGAAGGTCGTGGTCGACTGTGTCGAAAGCAACTGTTCAATCTAAAAGCACAAGTAAAACACAGTTTCCAGAATCCAGTGCTAAAAATATGTCATTAAAAACCCTTAAAAGAGCAGATTCAGTGCTGTGGTACATTTTAAAACCAGACTGGAAGACCTCCAAAATTTTAAATTAATCCAAAAATGTCTTCAGCTGCGTGTAAAACACTTTTTCTACAATGTTGGATATAAAGGGTAACTTGGAGATTGGCCTAAAGTTTGACAAAGAGGATGGGTCAAGGTCGGTTTTTGAACAATGGCTGCACCACAGCAGGTCTAATATTACTTAGTACTACACTAGACATCAAACTGCTGTTGCTCACATTTAGGATAAAGGAACCAACAGTAGAAAATACCTTGTTAAGAAAACATGGAGGAACAACATCAAGGGAGAGACCCGATGATTTCTCACTGGTGACCAGTTTCTCTAGATAGGAGAGGGAAATAGGCTCCAAATTATCAAAAACAGCCGGACAGGGGACCGGGATGGAAGGGTCAAGGGATGGAAAGGAGATACAAGCCCTAGTGTTAATGACCTTGTCCAAGAAGAAATGAAGAAACTTATCACAAAGTTCTCAGGATGCTTCTAGAGGGACCGGTCCATGTGCACTGAGGACAGTGCTGATTGTAAAAAACACGGTGGTTGTGAGAGTTAGCAGCAATAATGTCAGAGATATGTTGCTCTGGCTGTTTTCACAGCTCGTTGATAGTGACACCAACTGTATCACAGTATGTCAAGAGACTTGGAGTTTGATGATTAGTTGATTAGATGCAATTTGAAAACGCTCCTGCATCTGTCTGTTTAAAACATCTGGACCGGATCATTGCTTCATCTTCACCTCTGTGTGGAAAAAACTGGCTGCAACATTCGTACCTGAAGTGTCTGTCCATCCCAGTTTACTTCTGCCATACAATTCACATTTATTCATGGACGAATGATTTCTGGGCTTTATGTTGTTGTTGTTGTTGATGTTAATGTCTTACAAAAGTTTGCCTGGCTCGTTGCTGTTTGCTGAAGTGATGAGGGACTTGAATTGTTTTCAAAAGGCTCAACACTTCCCTCTAGTGGAAGTTATGAAATAGTTCATCCATTTGCTTATTGACAGTTTATTTCTGTGCCTTACAATTTATAATTAAATGTTTTGACTGACTTTTGCATTTTAGCTCATTAAAGGATAAAATGGGGCAGCACGGTGGTGCAACTGGTAGAGCTGCTGCCTCTCAGCGAGCAGGTCCCTGGTTCAAATCCCGGTCCAGGGGCCTTTCTGGGTGGAGTTTACATGTTCTCTCTGTGCATGTGTAGGTTTTCTCCAGGTACTCCAGTTTCCTCCCACAGATTAAAAATATGCATGTTAGAATGACTGGTAATTCTAAATTGTCTCTAGGTGAGAGAGAGAATGGTGGTTTGTCTTGTTTGTCTCTATGTGTCCCTGTGATGGACTGGAGACATGTCCAGGGTGTCCCCAGCCCCTCGGACCGTGATTGCTGGACATGGGCACCAGAGACCCCCGTGACCCAAAATGGAAGAAGCGGGTAAAGATAATGGATGGATGGATAAAATGTTTTTTCCATGAGTCTGAGGATGCTCTGATACTTCCTGATTTTCTTGTATTATTTAGTGGAATTTCACAATATTTTCGCCTTTCTTATGTATTTTCTTTACTTTTTCCAGATATCAACATGGCAGGAGAGCCGAGGCCGAAGAGACCTAAAGTCTTGAAACGACCTGCAGCTTCTCTTTACAGGTCAGCTCTGGGGCGGCTCTGGAAAGCTTTTACAATGCTGGGGTTTACTTTTAATGTTCGGGTCCCATTTAATATATTTCGGCCACCAGGAACACAACATATTAAAAGGAGGACATGAGACAAAATAAAGAGGGTTCAGACATTCAATTTATTTTTCCGCTGGTTCCTGAAAAAAGGAAGAAAAAAAGAACCTCAATTCCCGTATCCACCCAAAAAGACAAACAGAAACCCAAAGTATTAACTTAAAAGAGGACGTGGTGAGCTGGTCAAACAGAACAAAAAGATACTGCAGTGGGCCAACCCTATACAGGGCCGTCGAAGCCGCTGCAGACACCTGACTTAAACGAAAAGAAAAAAAACGTATAGCAAAAGAAATAGCGAAAACAGGACAACCGGTCACACCAGGCCAAACCACTAAAAAAACATACAAAAGTGAACAAAAATGACCTGTGGTGCTGAGGCCACCGGCTGACGGCCACAGCTCTCTCCACAAAACCCTTTAGGGTGCATCTATTTTTTTTTTCCCAAATAAATGGGTATGGCACATCACCTCTCTTATCCAATGTACATATGCTGGGGGGTGTGGGTCCTTCCAATTGCACAAAATTAGCCTCCTGGCGGGCAGCACGGTGGTGCAACTGGTAGAGCTGCTGCCTCTCAGCGACCAGGTCCCTGGTTCAAATCTCGGTCCAGGGGCCTCTCTGGGTGGAGTTTGCATGTTCTCTCCGTGCATGCGTGGGTTTTCTCCAGGTGCTCCAGTTTCCTCCCACAGACCAAAAACATGCATGTTAGACTGACTGGTAACTCTAAATTGTCCCTAGGTGTGAGTGAGAGACTGAACGGTTGTTTGTCTCGTTTGTCTCTATGTGTCCCTGTGATGGACTTGCAACCCGTCCAGGGTGTACCCCGCCCTTCGCACAGTGATTTCTGGACATGGGCACCGGCGACCCCCATGACCCAAAATGGAAGAAGCGGGTAAAAGATAATGGATGGATGGATGGACAGCCTCCTGGCCAGAAGAAAGCCTGAGGCAATCACATCCTTCTCATATTTGCTGAAGGACGTGTCCACAGGGATCAGCCCGAACAGTGACATGAGTGGTGATGGGTGTACAGTTTTTCCACATATCCCAGAGATGGTGTCAAAAATAGATTGCCAAAAAGTCTGCAGCTTGGGACATGTCCAAAATGTATGAAAGAGTGTAGCTAGAGTTTGTTTGCAATGATTGCATGCGAGGTCCAGATTGGCCTTGATCTTGGACAACTTGTCTTTGGAGCAGTGCAATCGGTTCACTACCTTGAATTGAATTACAGCGTGTCTCAGACAGACTGCAGATGAGTAAATGTTCCTAATGGTCCTTTTACAGATTGAGTCTGATATGGGTTCCTCCAAATCAGCTTCCCATTTCATTTTAAGGGAGTTCTAATGGGTCTCATAAGAACTGAGCAGTGTATAGATCTTGCTGAGGGCCCCCTTGGTATCAGACCTGCATTCAGAAATCTTAACCACAAGATGTTTAGAGGGGTACAAAGAAAAACAATCAGAGTTAGATCTCACAAACTGTCTCAGCTGCAGATATCTAAAACAATCTGTGATTTGTGAATATTAAACTTCTGTACCAGCTGTTCAAAAGAAGCAACTCTACCATCAACACAAAGCTCACACAGTGAATGCACTCCCCTCAAGACCCAGGCGTCAAAAGCTTTATCAACTACTGAGGGAGTGAACATATGATTATTTGACAAAGTTGCCAAAAACTAACTCTGTAGAGTTAAATGCTCTCCTGATCTGATTCCAAATTTTAACCGCCCAGATCACAATTAGGTTAGAAGTATAGGAGGATATGATTGTTTAAAGGTCAGCCGAGAGCAGAGGCAGAGTAATGCAGAAGGGGAAATGGATCTGATTGAGGCCCTTTCCAAGGCCACCCAACTATGTGAAGGGGTATCCTTACCTAAGCAAAATAGAAG